TCTCTTGTAATATTTATACCCGTTATTTATTCTTGGAATTATAATTGTTGTTGTATTATTATGTCTTTGTTTTTATTTCGACACCGACGTTGATGTAAGGTTAATAAGCCAGTTACCGAATATTGCGTAACATCTTGACGACTAACAAGTGAGCATGAGAAATATTCGGTTTCTGAACTGACACTTTGCATATAATACCTTCGCAACCAATGAACAGCAGGTAGTCGTATCGGTGCTGTGCATAATATCTTGACGAATAATAAGAAGCGTGAAAAGTATTCAGTTTAGAAAGACTGGTTATAATACCTTATGTTGATACGAAAAGACGTTCATAGTATGGACGATGTAATATACTCGTTAAATGCAGCAAAGGTTATTGTAAATCTATCGTGTTTGAGCTTGAATATTATTTTGTAACATATGCCAAATTGATATAATGTTAGATCTATAACGCACGATCAAAAACTAACTTGTACTAAGAGATAATATAATAACAACGACTATTAAATATTTATGTATAAACAGCATCTCTTAGTTTGTTATTGTTCCAGGCACACATACTGTATGTTGTACTTGACCTCTTCGTCCGTATAATGAAACGGTGAGATATTAATTCCCTAAATACAATGTACATTAACAAAACTATTGTTCATAAGAATAGCGATTAAATTAACATGTGTATTTAGAATAATATAGAGCTGATGGAGAATATATCTATTGCTTAAGATATGCCGAAACACAACCCCACTGTAAGTCCACGGTAAGTGTATTATGAAACGCAAATTATGAAAGATAATGATTAACGTTAAAATTATTCATCCAGCAAACAATAAAATTAGTTTTTCTGGAAGAGAATTATTTCTTAAAAAGATAATGCTTGAATAATATAATAGAGTTGGCAAAGTCAGTGACCATCACTAAGTATCGACACTACAGGGCTGCAGTCATAAGCCTAACATTTCAATTTAGAACACAAATGGGTAAACGTTTTGAAAATAGTGTATTATAAATCTTGATTACCTGCGAGATTTTAATTCGATCGGATGTTTCTAGCGAAATTTTAAGCAAAGACTTTACCTTTAGATACATTGCGATTTCGGGTCACAAAAATTTAAAAATTCATATCTCGACACTTTCAGCCCCAATTTTGTGCATTTCTTTTTATTTACCGTGACTAAGGGCCGGCCTTCTTTATATGGGGCTCTTACCATGAAAAAGCAAATTGATCTACGAATCATCACGTAACAGCCATCCGCGTTATTTACGTAATTACGAACTTATTTCAACGATACGAAATAAAGTAATCCATGACGTCGATCGTTGATGTGATAAAGGACCTTATTCGGTATCTGGTTTTTTGCGCTATCAAGTCAGTTTATAAAATTTGTGTAACCACACATATAAGCTTGCGACATAATGATGTTGATTAATAGCATGCGCAAGTATAATAACTTTTTTCAATTTGGCTACACACTTAAAAGACACTTATAGACAAACCTGGCGTATAAAACAAAAACAAATTTATGCAAATTGATTAGAGATATGTTAGGAGCGGTAAGATACTTGTGATCGCGCTACTTTAAATAGCACACGCTTACTTGCACCTGCGAATATTTATACTGGATGTAATTTTACTGTAAAACATAAGGAGCATTTTAGTAACATTATACGCCAATCTCTCTTCACGTTAATGGTGGTGTAATATTATGTTTGATAGAGTTTTTTAATTAAACTCAAAGTAATTTTCGATTAATTTGCATATCGACGTCGTGGTAGATAATATTGTCCGGCTAGAAGGACATACCATCTCGAAGTGTTTTTCAAAACTAAAATTTGAGAGATTGCTTAATATTTATGAAAACATGCCTTTGTATGCATAGTACTAAGAGTTACAAAATAGTAACACATGCATCAAGGAAACTTGTAACTTTACACTATTTACATATATTATAAGTTGTACAAGCCTAGTCTTTCAACAATTTCTTTAAAGTAAACAAGTCCTGAAGTCAACAGAAGGGACGAAGTCACTCATAATTATATCTACTCTAGGGCAAAACGTAAAAAACTTTAACCTACTGTCCGGACACACCTCCCAATTGTGAAAAACCACAAGGTAATGAACACTAAATTTGACAAAGGAATAATTCAACAGGAAATAGAACGGCCACCAAAGATTAAAAAAAAAAGCCATTGCAGAAGATAAGGGCCAGCTGTCTCAAAGTAATAAAGTTAATAAAAATATTTTGTAAGAAAAATAAACATCCTAAGAATAAAAAGTAATTCAAAATAGATCAAATACGTTAGTTTAGACACTATTCGTTTTCAAATGCTCAATTGCAGCGTCAATCTTTTTCAATAACTAATGACTTCTCATTACATAAGCTGTCGACTATTCGGCAAACTTTTTCTTAATCACACATAGCTTTTCCGACAAAAAAACCGTACAAAGGCATACAACACTAGTATTCACGGAATTGTGAGGAAAGAGTCTGGCAGCATGCTTACATAACCAACCGCTGATTATTTTTTTTCCCTGCGCGCGAACCCTTTTAACCTAAAATTAGCAATATTCTATTTGACGCGACAGCAAATCACCCACCGACACCCATATAAATGAGAATGATGAATTTCTTTCCAGGAGAGGGTGGGGGGAAAAGGAGGAGAGAAGAATTTGATTCTCTTCAAAAGCATATAAGTCTAAGTTTTTCCAACTTGTTGCACGACTAAAGACAACATAGACTCGTCCACATGCAAACATAGTGAACAATGGTAGTGAAGCGGGCGGTATCGGATGTCTTGGGGGAGGAGCAGTCATGTGATATAGAATGTCTATATCAGAAGTTCCAAAAAGAACCATTTTATCTTCTCCTGTCGTAAGGTATCCAGAAATAACAAATGGTTAATTTTTTCGTATCTTCCTCTCTTACTAACACGTTCACTGTTTGTTCCACTCGTTTGGTACTAATGACGGCATTATATTCATGATACATAACTTGAAAGAAGTGAACGTTAGATAACTTTTTGCCAATGTTACTGTAATGGTTATGACTTGAATGCACCGAAAAATAAATCGAGTTTATTTTTTATGGAAAAGGAATTTTGTCAAACGAAAGTTGCAGCCCGATTGACCGACTAAAATTATAAGGGTGCTAATTCGGACAGGACGTAATGATAGACTTACGGAGGTAACATTGCGTGGTAACACTGAACGCGCAGGTCGTTAACTCTCCCCGCCGCCGAAACAAATATGGAAATCAAAAGGTTAAACAAAATCAAAAGCCTTAAAAAGAAGTATCAAGCAATGATGAAACTAAATGACAACAGAGAAAAGTTGCAGGTAGCAAGTTGTATTTAGTTTTGTGGAGGCTCGTGATTATTGTTACTAAATCCGCAATTATCATTTGCCAAATACAATGATACACTATTCAATATAAATTACTATCGCAGAGCCTCCATACACAACGATAACGGTCAGATCCGATCAAACTACGGCAACTTTCACACTCTATACCTCTTAAAGGAAAAATTCAATTATGCCCGTTAGGCGCATACGCCAATCTCTAAATGAATGGCTCATCAGGGGTCAATTTGCACTATTAATAGATTGCATTTTGCTTTCTCGCCATTGCAAATTCAGGCTTCTGCATCTTATTTTAGTTTCGTGAACATCGTTCTCATCATTGTTTCCGTTGTTTCTGTATCCATCACATTCTCTATGCATTCTTGGGATCATCGTTTGTATCATCGACGAACAAGAACGGATAGAACAACAACGTGAACAAGAACGACAACGGCTGGAATGTGAGCGAGAAAGAGAACGCGTAAGAGGACTAGAAAGAGAAAAAAAAACGAGAGCGGGGAAAGGAAAAGGAAAAGGAAAGGGAACGCGAGCGGGATGCTTTGGTGAAAAATAAACCTGGTAAGAACGGAAAGTTAGTATGGTGGAATACAGCCAGAAAGAAGAGGCAGAGGTCATGGCGATTGTCAAGCTATCAGTATTGCTTTTTTTCACAAGCCATTAGAAGGAACTTGAACATCCGACGAACTCGAACATGACGACGGTACTTTGTTTCATAAGTTTGAATTGTACATAGTCTGTTGAGAAATGCATTGTTTATTGTTCATGAATTTTGAATGCCTCCGTGCGAAATACACACATATTCTTGAAGCCATATTAACTATATGAATTGCCATCGTTACTTGTATCCGAGAATAGATTTCTTCATCTTCGAAAAGGTGGTTACTCCTCATGACATGTCTTCTCAATTGCGAACCCTCACAGATCATCACTCTTCAAGTATGTTGACCCATATTTCTTTATCACAAACTATCAATCGGCCATTCGGTATTTGTTCAAAAAAGCAACCATCAATTAGACCGCATTGATACCAGCCCATGCAATCATTGCTCCATTATCTGTGCAAAGTTCGGGGGGGAAATAGTTCAAAGATCGTACCCCGTCGCTGATTTGTTCAACCTATTATAAGAATAATTAAAAGACGAAAGAGAGAGGTCATATACCTACTCCAAAAGAGAACTCTTCCTCCCCATTGTTGTTTTCTTTACCTCCAACAAACCCATTTCTCGCAACACCTCCACTACAAACCAATTTACTCACATTCAATTCTCCCTTGCAACATTCTTCCATGCACAGACGCAGCTTTCCGATCAAATGCTCTACAGCGGCATATTGAAACGCAGTTGCCAGACATCTTCATTTTTTACATCCAACTTTTCCTCCTCGATCAAATATTTCACTGCCGCTTTCAATCCACTAAAACTCATGTTTGAATTTTGAAGTTGAGATTTGTCCTTGGTCATTGGGATTGGGAAGCTGTATTTAGAGACGTTGCCAAGAGAAGCGTAACGTTCGAGTGCAGCGCCAGGACCACCAGAGCGCCCGGAAAGCCAAGGAATGTTTAAGAGACGGGTGACTTTGTCAAATGCTTCACCGATCGAATCATCAACCGTCGTAGAGAGAATGGTATGAGCATTCACGTGGCGGGTTAACAGTATCAGCGTATGGTCACCGGAATTAATAGAGTCAGATAGGGAAAGGAGAGAAGTGGTTTCAAGAGACGCGGAGTTAGAGCGTGAGCTTCCTAATTAACAAAACGAATGAGTTTGCAAACGAGCATGATATTTGTAGCAAGGAAACGAATTGTCGTGATTACCATATGATGAACTCCAATTATTGGCTTCCTGGCATGTAATCATTCAAAAATCAGACTATCGTAAAAACAGAGTATCCCAACTTTACTATTACAGACTTTTTACATGCTTTCCCAATACTCAAACTCGTACTTCCCTTCCCCTCTTACCTCAAAACACAAGCCAGACTCTCAGCAGCGTCTACGCCAACACCCAAACAGTGACCTAATCCCTGCCCTCTTGTAACAGCAATGATATCAACATCCCTAAGAACGTCAACTCCTGCCTTTCCACTGCGTCTCTAATCACTGTCGGTCGACTCTTTCTATGACTTACCATAGCAAGTGTGGGTACTATTCCGCCCTTGGGTTCGTGAAGGTGGGATTGAAGATGAATGCAGTCACTGAGAACGGCACGAAAGAAGTGACAATGCCTACTGCTGTATCGTCACAAGGGCTGTGATTTCGGAAGAAGAGAATGACGTTTGGGCGGAGAAATTTCGAAAGTGGAAAACGTACAAACGCGGGGGGTTATGGAGTGGTGGCGGACGGTAATATGATGAAATTTTGTTACAAGATCAAAAAAATCTAAATTTATTCCTATTTCGGAAAAGGCCAGTTCTAGTAACACTAAACCAACTGTGCATATTAATATAGCAGTTGCAAACAATGATTTTCTAAAAAATTATTTTACCCTTCCAAATCTTTCATGAAAGAAAATTATTCCTTAGAGCTTTTATTACTTGTTGAAAGTTTTCCTGCAATTTAAGGGGACGGTAATTAGCCGGAGACACTTCATATTCGATGACGTGAATAACTCGAAAAACACAATATGTTTTTTTTTATTGCGTTCTGCTGGGTTTTGTAGTATGCGACTTTTTCATATTAGTATTAGGTATGGAGATCTAGTGCTCGCGAAAAAGCGGGCATGCATCAACATAAGGTCGCCTTTTAATGTCTTCAGCTAACATGCAATGCAGAAGCAATGCAATCACTATTACTATTTGGATACGATTTGAATACAGTATTAATCTTGATACCGTTTACTTAGCAGATTAGAATTTATTGTAACGGTCTACGAGCGAAGTGACGATCGATGTATGAAGGGGTATTGAGCAAAATTCTCATCCAAAACAATGAATATCGTACAGTATGTTATCAATTGCTCAGATAGTCGGCCAGATGTAATTTCGCGCAGTTGATATGAATGGAATAGCTCTCTTTCATTTATTCTCGTTATTAGATGTTGCTAAGTTTGCATCGGAAGACCGTCAACTCAACAATATTGACTATGACATGTATGGAAGCATATTGGATGCGAAATAAACTTTGACTAAATTCGTAAAATTGTTCGCGACGTACAGGTTTATTATTATTCAAAAAAAAGTTTTCGTCTCTAAATTATAAGAAATAGACGGTATTAATATTGTGATTAGTTTTGTTGTAACAGTGTATAACTCATACCTGCAGCCGATTCCAAATCACAGTCACTATTTCTTGGTTTAGGCAAATCTCCTGTAGGTAGCAGCCTACTAGAGTATTTGTTTTCCTTTTCATGGCATGATAAAGGCTTTACATTGTTATAATAAACAGTAAACCATGCATCGCTTATACTAGGAGAATCATCCTTGTCCACTTCTTCCCTAAGGTTGATAATATAAGACCAAATTTGGAATGCATCTGGGCGTTTATCAGGATCAGCATCACAACATTGCCTGGTAAGTTTCTTGTATTCCTCTGGTGCTGAGTCAGGTATCCTTGGCCGTAATCCATCCAAAATATCACACGTTAATTCCCTATCAAATTCCCTATCTCTAAAAGGTGGTTCACCACTAGCAATTAAATGCATAATAATACCAAAAGAGTATATGTCTGACTTCTGAGTAAATTTGTAAGTGTGGAAGACTTCTGGTGCAATAAAGGGTAAGATACCTCTAATGGTTGGAGATGACTCTTCTGAATTCACTGGTTGAGAAAGACCAAGATCACATATATATGCTCCTATCTTATCTGAATTGTCATGCATGACTACATTCCCACCATGAAGATCACAGTGTACTAACCCCTCACTATGAATATCTTTCAAATAGTATGCAATATCCTCCAGATACCATAATTTTCTTTCCCATGTCAATTTGTTAATATTTTGATGCAAATAAGACAAAAGACTGCCATGGTTGGCATATTGCATAACAATCATGTACTCATTTGTTTCAGGGTCTTGTGTGAACCCATAAAGTCAAAGGAAATTATTATACCGTTTTGCACACTTGGCATGATTTCTGAGCTATCAAACAAAAATAAACAGAGTTATGTTGAATGTCACTTTAGTCAAAATATCAAAATTACTTACTTCATTAATAAATAGTTTATCAAAACTCTTGAATCGTTTTAGTACAACAGTTTCTGGCACATTAATATGCTTTTCTGACTTGCCATTGTATTTGGCAGTATAAACTGTTCCATAACCACCAATTCCAATCTGTTTAATTTCACAAAAGTTACAATACTGCATGGCCTCAACATCTTCATTGATCTGTTTGAATCTGTCCAATAATAAACGTGTTTCAAGACAAAAAACTAGATAATATGCTTGACTAGATGGCTCTTGAGTTATTCCAAACATGAAAGGGGTTGGTATCTCTGGATATTTCCGAGTTAGTATTATCTATTTGAGTAAACAATACAGTAATTACACCAGTCAACGCAATGCATATTAATATGAATATTAGTACCATTTTTGCATTATTTTACAAATAAATAATTTACCTGAAAATCATATAACAATGCATCCTGTCTGTCAACTATTATCTTTTTAAGCATCACGTTTGTCCATTCATTTGCCATTGGTTCTAGCCATTCTGCTATATGTGTGCATCCATGGCGTAATGATGACATTTGTTGTATATTTCTCAATTGAGAATACATTATATCTATCCATTTCAAACTGTCATACTTGGTCTTCCACTCGTTAATCAACGAAGCCGAAATATTACTATGACACGAATCACATAATGCATTTATTTCGGGGTTTAATTGCCTTGTACACGCCAGACATAATGCACGCCCATGATCAGTTTTTATTAGACAATACTTTTTTTGATGTGGATCGTATGTAAATCCGATGGTAACCCAAACATCCGTGGTAAGAATATCAGGATGCTTATCACATAACTAGTGGAAATGATACATAATAATATGTCAATAATTATTTAAACTATTCAATAAACATGGCGCATAAGTAAATAGTTTACCTCGGCATAATATAAATCATGTGTTTCATTTGTTATCTCAAGTGGGATCAATTTGATATCTGCATAAGTAGGTAGAGCATTATACAACCATCCCCATCCATCTCCCCAATTATAATCAATACAATCGAATGGAATCAATTCCAAATAGGCGTCATTTGGTGAGTTTGTTTGTAGTTGAGATTTCTTAATAAAGTCATCGAGTTGGTGATTGTTGCTAGTCCACCCATCGGATAATTGTTTATAACCACAAATGCACCACACGGGACTACATCGGAGTATTCCACATGTGGAGCAGAAGCCATATCGAAAATAATAATGGTAAAAACGTTTATGAGCAACCATGTAATAGTCATCGTCATGCTTGGTAAACCCCTTTATGAGTTCGTTGCGATGTTCAAGCCACACGGAGTATCGTCTAAAGTTATTGTCGTTGTTATTGTACATGTGTGTTGAAAGTGAGTATATTCTGGCCAACTCACTCACAAGTGTTGGCGTACACGTTTCATCGTTTCCAAGTAGTAGTAATGTATAATCAGTAGCGTAGTAGACTTTGTCAATTTGTGTTGGCTTTATATCGGTAATTCGTGAACTAGGAATCCATTCAAGTCGTAAAAAATAATTTGATAATAATAAGGAGGATTGGACCAGGTTGTCAAGTGCTGAATTCTTGACAATCCCTGACGTTAGCGACATACTAATACTGTAGCTTAATATTAAGGAGAGTCCCAACTGACTGTGTGTGACAAGTTGATGAAACTCATGTACTTTGTATTACTTAGATTTCGAACACCCAATTTGCTGGTGGATAACTGACGGGGCGATTAATTAATTAATTAATTGCCCTCGTGGTCTTTCGAAGCTTTTTTGGAAAATAAAAATCAAGGCGACCGACTAACAATAGATCAAAGGCATAGATAGCATCTTGCTAACACAATCAATAAACTTATGACTTTAAATAAATGTTCACTTATAAACATACGTCATAAGCTACAAAACTTTCAAATAACATATTGAAGTGAACAAAGGGACGAAGCGACTCATAATTACATTTAGAAACGATGATTGTGGAATAACGAATTATGTTACCGGACTAAATCATGTTGATCAACGAAAAATAAAATAATCACCAGTCTGTAAATGCTTTTTTTTTTTAAGAAGAGCCAATGGCAGAAAAAAAAGGCGAGTTGTCTCAAAAATAAAATTAATGAAAAAAGAGGACACCCTAGCAAAACAAAACTAGATCAAATACGTTGTTCGTTGTACACTACATCTAGCAAGCAATGTAAAAGACTATATTTTCGTTTTCAATGCTCAGGAAGGAACAATTCGAACAACAAAAATTTCCATTTCTACAGCATCATGCAAGATGACGACTGATTCGGCGAACGTTTTTTTATTGCTCCGATAAGAAACCGTACAAAAGACGCAAAGCATACAATTACTCTCATATCGCCATCAGTGTAAGTATATGAGAAAACGTGCTTCATACACGTAACCAATCGCTGATCGATACAGTGCG